TTACACTCATCACAAATACATGGTCCCTCGCCACTGTGAATGCGTTGCTGAATCTTCAGGTGGCTTCTTTGAGTGAATGATTTATTACACTCATCACAAATACATGGTCCCTCGCCACTGTGAATGCGTTGCTGAATCTTCAGGTGGCTTCTTTGAGTGAATGATTTATTACACTCATCACAAATACATGGTCCCTCGCCACTGTGAATGCGTTGCTGAATCTTCAGGTGGCTTCTTTGAGTGAATGATTTATTACACTCATCACAAATACATGGTCCCTCGCCACTGTGAATGCGTTGCTGAATCTTCAGGTGGCTTCTTTGAGTGAATGATTTATTACACTCATCACAAATACATGGTCCCTCGCCACTGTGAATGCGTTGCTGAATCTTCAGGTGGCTTCTTTGAGTGAATGATTTATTACACTCATCACAAATACATGGTCCCTCGCCACTGTGAATGCGTTGCTGAATCTTCAGGTGGCTTCTTTGAGTGAATGATTTATTACACTCATCACAAATACATGGTCCCTCGCCACTGTGAATGCGTTGCTGAATCTTCAGGTGGCTTCTTTGAGTGAATGATTTATTACACTCATCACAAATACATGGTCCCTCGCCACTGTGAATGCGTTGCTGAATCTTCAGGTGGCTTCTTTGAGTGAATGATTTATTACACTCATCACAAATACATGGTCCCTCGCCACTGTGAATGCGTTGCTGAATCTTCAGGTGGCTTCTTTGAGTGAATGATTTATTACACTCATCACAAATACATGGTCCCTCGCCACTGTGAATGCGTTGCTGAATCTTCAGGTGGCTTCTTTGAGTGAATGATTTATTACACTCATCACAAATACATGGTCCCTCGCCACTGTGAATGCGTTGCTGAATCTTCAGGTGGCTTCTTTGATTGAATGATTTATTGCACTCATCACAAATATATGGTCGCTCGCCACTGTGAATGCGTAGTTTCTCACTTGGGTGTGCCGCTGTTGAGGTGAAGGTAAGAGGCATCAGGACAAGGGAGATATCATGGTTCTGGTATTTATGTGAGCAGAGAACTGACTAATCCTTTGGGCCATATGTTGCGTTAGATTGTCAGAAGTTAGAAGTCAATATACGTTGTGATAGTGTTAACAATTATATTTCAACTTACTAGTTGATACCCATACCTCACATTACAGCTAGAAGCCGTCTCGAATAGATCGCTTACCTAAAACGGCCTAATGAAACTCTAGCTCAAACCAGCTACGACTTTCAATTAAGCCTGGGGCAGTTGTGTTTCGAAACCTACGCGGTCTCACATCCTAAATTTCGACAGCAGAACAACTTTCACGCTTCAATATGACTTGTGTAATGAGAACGCCTCGAGATGACCAACAAGTAGGACGCTGTGGTCTAGATACTAGCGAAGATTCAAAGTTGGTAGATGTAATCTACACAGTCATACCTTGTGCGTAATGAAACATGAGGATGCCTGATGTAATCACTGGTAAAAGCATGAGTTATAAGTTTTATTGGTTTAGGTTTTAGGGTTTATATTTGTATATGTTGCTTATTATTGCTAGTTTGTGTAACCATATCGGATAAAAGTCATTCAAATATTTATTGTAGAATACACGTTCATATTGTTACAGATATAGTTTAATTAATACGGTAACCCCTCGTCTCCACCCACCACTAATATCACCACCTCCCAGGTGTGTATACAACAAATTGGTGGCAGCGTCGTGATTAAAGACGTCTTTTAAAACTGGAGATTGAAGGTGAGGATAATCAAACAGAAATAAACATGGATGAGTTACCTCACACCCAAAATGAGTTTAATTGTCCAGATGGAGACAATCAGAACAGAAGTGAACGGTATAACTTTAGACCCTTAAGAGGCAGATTTCCAACGAATGGAAATTAAAATCTCTTTCTAACTTTCAAGCCTCCTATCTTCAGCATATGGGACTCCCCAAATGAATAAGGGAGCAATATTCCTGCACGAGCAAGAATTGCTTGTGACCAGGAACCAATGGAGCGTAATAATTAATATTAACGTAAAATGGTTTAGGGATACCTTAACCATAATCAAATTCATTAGGCGGCAGCACCAAATTTATGCTGAAAAACCTCAAGGTGCAGGCCTGATAAGTTGGGAGGAACTGTCCAGAGTAAATCAGTTTACACTAGAATTGGATCGGGAATAAGTAACTACCTTATAAATCAAGTAGAACTATGAGACAGCGGCGAGGCCTAATTGACTTTGGAGGTCAAATATTAAAATTCTTATTTGGAACCG